CGACGAATGTGCATCGTTCGTTTCTAAAATTTAAAGACGATGCCTTTTAGATCAATATTCGGAAGCAGAAGAATGTAAAACTGTTTAATTTTAATACAGCATGTAAAATGCAAAACGCAAAGTAAATAGATGTCTTCTCAAAATTTATCCCATTTTAATTCTGCAAAAAGCCTAATAATATTCCAGTGTTATTGATTTCGTTTTCCTCCTGCTCTACTGCACACAGTGCATGTAGTGTAAACTTTGTACGGGATATTTTTAAAGGAATCTGTTTGACCTACACAAGCTTCATCGGCACAGTTGTACCAACTATTTTTACCGTTGAATAAATTTTAGCAAATAAATTAACCGTGATACAGTGACACTTGAGAGGTCCATAGACCATAATGCATTTCTTCATTGGGAATTCACTTACCACATCCAGGCTTCAGATTCACTACCGTTGTGCTAATGTCTCCACAAATTTGTCTATGTTTGCTGGCCGCTGACTTGAGGAGTTGATATATTGGGTCTATTTCTGGGAATAACGTCAAAAAAGCATTTATTAAAAGAGCTGTACAAAAGTGGAAATTTTTAGATCAAGAGCTTCATCCACAGGCCATCAAAATGCAATGATTTATGGTAGACGCATAAAAGAAGCATGCAGATGGGAACTATTCCCATTTGTTTAACGGCCACATTTAAGCTGTATGATAGTATTTGTTCTTTGGATACAAAAATCTGCACTCCAAAAGTACATTACACCGGTAAACAGAAGTAAGCCGCTGTTTTGAGAAAACCGAAATATTATTGAGCATAATATTTTGAAAATAACGTTCATCTTCCTTTTGACTTTCGAACCAGCTTAGATATACCTTAAATATGAAAGATTGATTATTTTAGAACTGTCAACTACGGAGGTAGATTCCTGCAGTAAACATATGTTCCGTTCATTTACACAGGAGATATCCTCATATGCTTTTTGGTAAGCAGGTGCCAGAGCTTTCTGTGGAAGAACAGCGTTATGTTTTTCGAGGTAGGGCGCATATAAACACCGTTTTTTGCAATAAGAGTTTAAAATGTCTTCCTTTTTGTATATGATTACTGATAACTTTATTTTTTTTAAAGAACATACAATAGATGTAGGGTCATATGTGTGCGGTATTCGTTTAAGATGAAAATTCTTAAGCTTACTGCAACAACAAAAATGGCTTATTTATCAGAATTTGTGGGACTGTATCAAACATAATTTTCATGTAAGCGTCAGAACACCGGGTCAAAGATAAAGTTATTTCAGGATTTTATTGGCATCCTAATTCTTGTCTTAAAGTATATTCTACACATTGGAGAGTGGCATTCATTAGCCATTTAAATCTATTTAAAACGACACTCTGTTATACTAGCACAATCTTTTGAATCAACTAGCACCAATTTTAACAACTGTTCTTGCAGACCTTCACTTAATAACGTGCTAGAGCCTTATACTTTTGATACTTGAAAAGTGACATTCGGAGTGTAAGTAATGGATTTTCTATGATACCCTTTCTAAATGAGTGTAACGAAATGTACAGAATATAGATCAAGTATAACTACCGTACGCATTACTGGATGCACATACTGAATTGAAAATTACGGTTGTGTGGGCTATCCAAACGTATGCATATATACGTCTGGCCCCAATTACGCTAAATAATTCTTAAATTCAAGATAGGCTTTCATCTCATTTAGTCTATAAACCAGATCTTTTAGCGAACTTACTGACTGAGCTAAAGCTTACCTTCTGGAGAGGAACTCTTTCTTTCTTCTTCCTCTGAGCGCTTTTTCACGAGTCGCTTCCAATTCTTCTGTATCGTCAAAAAAAACAAATACTCTTTAGGTGAGAAAGAACACCTGCTTTCGTGAAAGCTTATTTGAAAAAGAGAAGAGTAGAGGAAAACATCGATGTCCAAAGCTAATTGGCCTCTTATGACCGACGTATTATCTAGGAAAAGTTTACTTATGTTTCCCTCGTGGTAATTTTATTGTTTATTCGTTACTTGTTTCTCTTCCATTAGAAGGTAAGGGCCATATCACAGTTCAAAGGATTTATACGTTTTGATATTCCAAAGCTCATTGGTGAGATAATAGACGCATAGTGCAAACCGCCGCTCCATTTGTCCTTTCGGATCCAGACTTTGTCATTTGCGCTTCAGACGATGCAACTTTCTTCTAGCGTGACATTAAAAGGTATATTCTAAATTAGAAAGATAATATACAGTTCAGTTTGAACTCAATCTCCTTAATGCTACTTTCCATTCGACCAGCCTTGTGGGGTTTTGAAATCTTACTCAAAGTCAAAAAGCATCTGACCAGTTATTTCCGTTTAAGGACTATTTGAAATCATATGTGAATTCCACGTGACATTAATGAGGTAGAACAAGTAACAGCTGCAGTCATATTTTATTAGTCGCGTTCGTTGCTTGCGCTACACAGATTGTAAATCGATGTAAATGCTCTTAGCTATAAAATCAAAAAACATCGGCGTATGACAACTTTCTTGCAAATTCTGTCCTGATCCATGGAAAAAAATTTGACTTCCCATCAAATTCAAAAATTTTATGTCCAGTTTCACAGGATGAACCCTTCTTTAGGAAACATTTATTTGGGATATGTTGATAAAGACTACTTATCTACCGTAGAATTCACGTCCTATTTGTCACATTCGAAAATGGCTAAAGTCGCTTAAGTGCGTCTGTGCTCTGTCCATTTACATATTTCTTTAAAAATCAGATGCTCAGTTTCATTATGTAAAACTATTTGACAAAATATATACTTATAGCTGACGAAACCCTCTGTAATATATTCGCTAACACAATTTGATATTAAATTTTGATTTTAGAGGACGGCGACGCATCACCTGCGGCTGCAAAGAACCCAATTTTGGCTTTTCGGGACAAGAGAAGCTTTATTAGCTATTTGATGACATAAAAATAGTCTTAAAAATGCAAATTATTTGCGCTCATTTTGATTCTGTTATTCTGTTATACTGTTTGGGACTTGGAGCAAAGAACAAAATTAACCTGTCTAGTTTTGTCCTTGATTATATTCTTAGTCCTTAGAAATGTTGATTATGTGCACAAGTGATAATCATTCCTTTCAAAATTTCCGTCGTTCATTGGTTTGCATTTTTAGTAATTAGGATGATTTGTAATTTTTTTGTTTCGGAAATCAACATAAGGAATACTCTCCATAATAGTGTATATGAATAATTCAAAAGCAAGTTAAAAGTTTACTGTTCTGTATTGATTAATGTAGGACCCTTATCTTTTTTGCAAAAATGGTTTATTTATTTTCAAATATAATGAAAAAGTAACTATATTCGTCTAAAATTAAGCCTTTCTGAAATTAACTCACCCCTTCGAATGCGTTCGCAACTCTGATAAAATTAAATGCTTTATTCCAGATTGTCCTTGAATTTCTTCGTGGCTTGGATTCAGAACTTTCCGATAATTTTGCTGTTGACTAAAATTTTCATTAAATTGTTAGAAAATAGCGTAAAAATCTCCTTTTAAAATGCTCAACAAAACTAAAAATATTGTCGAAATCTTTGAAATCCCCGAAAACACAAACAAATAAGCAAATAACAGACAATTTTAAGAAAGCTCTTACCTTATTTGTGAACACGAAATTTTCGAAGATTTATTCGTGAAAAAAAAAGAATGACAGAAAACAGATATCACATAGGTCTTAATGAATTGTTCAACTGAATACATTTCCTATTCCGCGGCGCCCACGAGACAAACCAGTTAAAGTCAATCTTCCGAATTTATATTCCACATAATGTACAATGATAAAAAACAGGCTTTGGCAGGCACGCATTTCATGAGCCTAGATTTGGTAAGTATGTATAACCTTATGCACTTAAACCACTTTTGATGTCCGAGCGTCACTCTTTTTGTAGGAAGACGTAGGACTTAATTTCAACGACTAAATTCGGGGTATAATATCTTTGTGAGCTATTTAATTTAATGCCACTACTATTCGAAAGGTCTTCTAATTGAAGCTGGGAAAACTGAGCATATTTGCAGATATGATGCTTTAATTAATAGTTCATTTGCATCGACTTATCAATCTTATTTTCCGTGAACTGCGGAAACTTTAATAAGATTTTGTCCGAATCAGGTTCTGGTAACTCACATTTAAGTAAGGCGATCTTCAAAGATCATATTTTGTAGCAATATCTGCCTTGCATGTTCCATAAATGCAAGTCTGCATCACAAAGAGCATGTAAGCAAAACTGTTTGAACTTTGCAGATTCTGATTAAAGCCCACGGTTTTCGTCGTTCCCCACAGACCAGAAAAAATATTTTTGAAAATACTTACTTAAGCCCTAAGTAACAATTGCATTTATAAATGTATTTATATTTACTGCGCTTGACAACCTGCACAGGAGAACCACTTGGTCTAACACCGTGTCTTCTGTTATCTTCAGTTGAGTGAAAACCAGCTCTTCGCTCCAGCTTTCTTCTTGCATTTCCTTACACATGATATATTTTCAAGCGTTTCACTCGCATTAGTACTTGATTGCACCAGATTTTTAAAAGCGCATATTCAACGACTATTTTTTGCCTTTTTCTCCCTCTCTCAGCCACACTTTCGATGTTTGGCGGTTAGTTAGGGGAAAATAAACCCTTAGTGTTACATTCGACCTTGCCCAAGGTCCAGGGATCCAGAGTTTATGTTACAGTTAAAAACATTGCTCGATTTTGGCGTCAACGATGTAGTATTAGGTTGTGGGTAAAAACAGGAGGGAAAGGGTTTGCATTATCAAAATTAGTGTAAGAGTCATGTCGGTGATAATCGCGGTCTAGGCATAAACATAGGATCCACTCTGGAATTTGGCACAAGATCACCTGTTATCATAACCCACTTGAATAAAACTTGGGTGTTTTCTTTTTTGTCTTTTTATAAGCATGTTAATAATATTCAAAATTTTAAAGAGCAAGAAGATTGATTTATCAGACTTTCTGTGATAAAATGCTCTACAATGTGCTGCCTACCTCTTCGGTCTTTGTGTCAAGTTCAGGAACCGCAGTGACATTTGCTTGATGTAGATGGTTGACCTCTACCGACGACTGCAAACTGGTGTATTCCGGAGTGATGGCCATACTAAAACCTGCCTCATCCTCATAACTTAAGCCAGCTGCAAAAACAGGACGAACGGCCTTGCGGCTTTTGGAGGAAATGCTTCTACCAGGATAACTTTCATCCATATTCCTCTGAGCAGACGCGGGTGTGAATTCTATATTTTTCGACTTGTTGAATGGGGTCTCGCTGCGGTCAGTGTACGATGCTTCCTCAAAACCACTCACAGAATGATTGCTTGACATTGAATTTGAGCGGTAATCAGATCCCCGCATTTGAATAGCCGATGAGCTCGGGGAACTGCTCCAGCTCATTCCACTAGCCGCTGAGTCGTACGATTCGCACGATCTTTGAGATTTAACAGCGTTCTTACTGTGCGCTTTAAAAGATGATTCAAAATCTTTTACAGTTAGAAATTGGTGAGCATTGCCCTCCGTTGCTGCTCTACGGATTAAATAATGGTTTCCTTGGAAATGCTCATTGCTACGTTGCGTATGTTGTTCAAGTCGTATTTCAGGCAGATAGGCTTGCCGGGGCTGCTCCGTTCGCCGGACAACTCGGGTTGACAGTGTTGGTCGCAGATTACCTACATTTATATCTCTTGGGAAATGCTGATTTTCACCAAACGTGTTCTGCCTTGAAAGGCGAGCGCGCCTGTTTCCATTGGTGTCATAAGACATATGTTGTGGATGTCGTCAAAAAACACGAAAAGATGATAAGGATGAGGGTACTAGCTAAAGTCTGGAAAGCAACGTCAGGCTGCTCCGTCTTTATTTTACTATTTAGTCCTAAGATCTGAATAAACCGAAAAAAAGTGGGCGCAAAGTTAAGGAAACTTCGGATGTGTCGGCAGCTGATTGGCTGAATTGATGAATTTGCACAGGCGCTTGTCTGTAGTATCCAATCATAAGGTGTGTCCATACGTAGCCGAAAACAAGAATGGGCCTTCGAATGGCCGAGAGATACAAAAATTTCCAAAATTATCTCTTTAAATCTAGAAAATGTACTGTATGCCGAATTCCGATAAAACATAATACTAGAAAGGAAGGCTCGTTTTAAGTAGAAAATCTGAAGGCCGCAATATTTGACAACAGTTTAAGTATCAGTAAGTTTAGTTCAGAACATGTTACCAGCGACTTCGCTCAACTGCTAATTAAAATTATGTGAACAGCCATTTTTAATTAACTAGCTGTTAAGTTGCATATTGGCCGATCGCGGTGTGTAAAAATGTTTTAGTTTAAAGAAACCTGTATTCCACACCAGTCAGGATATAAAATGTACCTTATCTGGTATAGCGGCATGTCATTTTTGAGCGGTTTCGCACATGTTTACATTGCTAGAGAAACCTCAAACTGCATATCTGGTGCTCAACGTAACTCATTGGATTATCTTTCTTCCACTTCTACATTTTATTTCTTCTTCGAAAATAAAACTTCCCATGTTTTTGAAGCAAATGCGTTTGCCCCTCGTTTGAATTACGACCTTGTTTCTGTTTTACAGATTATATTATGCTAGACTAGTTTTGTACTTCCTGTAAATTATAGTGTTTCCTTTTTGCACGTATTTGAATAGTGCATACAATCAGGCCTGAGTGCAACCCATGTTTTGTTGCTACTTCTTAACTCTGAATGTGGACTCCTGCAAAAGTTCGAACGCTCAGAACAATAAATCAATTGATTCAGTGTTCGACACGTCTTTTTCCTTTTCCAAAACTTTAAATGTAATTCTCATTTGAATGCATAACCTTATTAATTTCTTCTTTTCAATATGTCATTTTAAGTCATGATTAAATGCTTTAGTTTAAAGAAGCCTGTGCGCAACACCAGTCAGGTGATGAAAATATGTCCGATCTGGTATTGTGGGTTTTATTAATATTTTTCTTAAAATCTCAGGAAAATTCTGATCGACGTTCACATAAAAACCCTTTAAAATAAGATAAATAAGATAAAGGGTTTATCGAAAAAATGACGTGGTAGATATTATTTCGCTTGCAGAAGTCAACGTGCCCAAAATACCATAACACATCGTTATCCGGAAAAACACACCCAACAATAGCTTGACACTTTTATGCCTATGATCTTTCGAAAACTTTCTATAAGAGTTTATATATTTAAAAAGCACTTTAAATTAAATGTTCAGCTGATGAATGTCTGTGCATCTTGCAAGTTTTCTAGGTATTATAATGGTGAAGATAGATAATTTTGGCCAGTTTTTCGTATAATACGTGAAAAAATGACATAGCTTTGGTGGGAAACCTAAGAGCCTACGTTTTTCGTTCACAGTGGGCTACTTTTAGCAATTTTTGATTACCTTTATCTCGGAGATTGTGAATGCGAAAGTCGCCATTTTCATAAAAGGCTTTCGTTGAAATCATTAAGCTTCTGTCTGTGCTGTTCCTAGATTACACAAAGGCGAAAATGATTTAAAAAGTTTCTTTTTATACACTTTCGATCGAATAAAATTGCCGTTTGCATAAAGTTACAAAATAATATAAAGAAGGTTCCGGTTATGATCCCAAATCTTGGATGTCTAGAAAAATGCGGTCCAAACATTTTTGCTGCGTGTTCCTACAAAAAATTCAGAAATTCTCAAAAGGTCTTTTTTAAACTGATATCTTTTCTTGTTTCTGAAAAAAACGATTTCTTAAAGTTGGATCTATCCGATTCTTTCAACCTAAGTCTATAATTTCCGGTTCCCAAAGTGATCTACTTTAAACTTTTCTCGGTGATATATGCATACATACGAAAGGTCCGATTCTATCATATTTAATTTTATAGAAAATTTCTTCGATATCTGGCCAACTTTCTGTGTACTACCCTTAAATATACGGAACTAAACTGGCAGCTTTCCTCGCTAAAAAGATCCTCATGATTGAATCCACCCACTCGATAGAAAAAATTAGACCAAATGTATACTTAGCTGCAAAGTGAAATTTTGATCATGACTGTTGAATGAATTATTAACCGCACTGTAAGCTTGTTTTTGGTGTTCCTCACGTACGAGAGTGTGAGAAGAGTAAAATCTGCAGAAAGCAAGGTTAAATAGTCACGTGCTTGACTGGCTAATGAAACTGGAAAACAGCACGCTCATGCTTCTCTTCTGCTGTATTTACTAGATTGCGCAATATCCTTTGATAGAAGTTCCAGGGTGGTATGTTTCTCCCCATATAGGAGTTCAGTGTTTGTTCCGACAAAGGTCTTGCCAAGTTTCTAAATTCAAGTCGCTATTTAAATAAAGCAAGGAATAACACAGCAGATACCTCCGAACTCCATTAAGTATTCCTTTTAAGATACCTGGTGAGAACAAATCATGTTCGGAATAATAAAAACCATTTTATTTTTGATACTTGCGTGACGTTAAAAAGCCTCGCTTCTGGATTTTTTTTACTTCTCCGCCTTACCCAATTTATATCCGTCCACATGTATTATTAAAGTTAGATTGTTCTTTTTTGTTTAAGACTAGGTAACAGTTTAGATGGGTCGGGTCAACAATTCATATTCATATACTCAAGCCTATAGTAAGTATGCCATTGGTTCCATTATATCACCTTTTCGAACAGATACTTATGGTCTGATGGTGGCCTGAGGTTCATATTAAAAATACTTAAAAATTCAGTTTTTAAAATCAATTGGGAATAAAAAAGAGAATGTTGTATAGGATGTACTGGTTCCCTGAAAATGTGTTTCACCACTGTTGAGCACCCGTATATACGATTTAAAATAAAGAACTATTTATGTAGTTGGTAGTCATTTAAATATGCCTTCAATTTAATAGGGATATTACTTCTCCAGTCATTTCTGTCGAAACGTACATAACACGAACCAACGGGTTGCCTGCATTAGGTTAAAGTTATACGCAGTGGTAGGTTTAAACGAAAACGTTAATAAAAGTGTGGACTGGGTCACTGCACATTTCTCTGTTACAATTTACTCAAGAATCAAGGAAAGCCACCATCTAGATAACGTAGATGCGTCTGCTTGTTTATTTTAATATGGTAATCGCGAGTTACGAAGTAAACAACTCGTCTACCAATTCCAAGAAAATTCTGTTATAATCTAAGGATAAAAGTCAGACAACTGCAGATGGTAGACATCGCTAACATGACATTGTCCACGTCTCTCCAGCTCCACGCAAGGCAGCCAAAACGTGGGGAGACCGTCGAATTGAACAATGATACATTTATAAATTTGTTTGTGCCGCATGGCCCCTGATCCAAGGTGAAAAAACGCTGCCTTCTAAATTCTGAAATTCATATGCTTTGACCTTAAGTTTGTGCGTAAACTTGCAAGTCGATTTGATATTCTATGAAGTGAAAACTATCACAGGCCAGGAGCTAAAGTATTCTGTCTTAACTCACCCCCTTCTCTGCCCTTATTGCTTTCCCTTGTCGAACCAACTGAATATGATATGAGATGTAAAAAATGTTGCTGTACGTATCCCATGCATGGTCTACGATTTCATATATGCGGCACGTACAAGAAAATGTTACTGCCGAAGGTGCGATTACACAGGATGTGGAATTAGTCGTGCGATCTCCTTGAAGTTTGCAAGTGTTGATAATACCACGTAAACCGGTATTAACAAATGCACAGAAACTCACAAAAATAATAACACCCTAAACAAATTTGTTTCTTAAACGAAATATAAGAGTATTAACTGCCTATTAAGAAGAATATTTTTCTAAATAACATTCAAGTTCATTAGACGTAAAAATGTAATTAGGTACAATAACTTAATACAGTGGTTAGAGTGTTGGCTTCCGGTAAATGCCTTCTGTACTACGCTGGTTCAAATCCCGCCGAACGCCTCGATTGTTTTCACAATCGGATCAACTAAAATGAAGAAAATCTGCCAAACATCCTAATTTTAGATATTTTCGTAAGTTAAATTAGTGTCCATACTACTTTCTGTATCCCAAAGAACCTTTTCCTTATTCAAAGTATTTCGACCATATTGCGGTTATATAGTTACAATTACTTACAAAATTGACCTTTTAAATCCAACAAA